GATAAGTAAAAATGATATACTCACACCATAGATTATTATTCAGCAAAAAAAAAAAAAAGGTAGTAAAGTACTAGTACATGCCACGATATGGGTGATTCTTGAAAGCACCATTCGAAATGAAAAGAAGCCAGACAGAAAAGGCCACATACTGCAGCATTCCATTTAAATGTCCAGGATAGGCAAATCAAGAAAGAAGGTGGATTAGTGTTGCCACAGGCTCAGGTGGGGCAGGGTGGGGCAGGAGTGGACATGACTAATAGGTATGATTTCCTTTATGAGTGATAGGAATGTTCTAAAATTTGTTTTGCTGATAGTTGCACAACTCTAAATATACAAAGATCCACTGATTGCACATTTTTTAAAAAGATTTATTTATTTGAAAGGCAGATTTACAGGGAGGCATGAAAGGAAAGGCCACCACCAAACACACCCAACACCAAAGTAAGGGAAAAGGTTTATTGTTGGGTGGGGAAAACCCGACAGGCCGCCTCCCTGTGCACAGAGAGAACCACCACCTGGTACTGGGAGAACAGGTCCTATATAGCCTTACAGAGGTAAGGAAGTGGGAGAGGCAAATCCCAACAGGGTGGGAGTTGAGCAGAAACTTGTGATTGGGCTCTTTGGTCACCTGACTTCTAGTAAGCCAGGCTAGGTTTAGGAAGATGGCACCATTTTACTAACAAGGCAGAGGTAGAGAGAGAGAGATCTTTCATCCACTGGTTCACTCCCCAAATGGCTGCAACAGCTGGAGCTGGGCCCATCCGAAGCCAGGATCCAGGAGCTTCTTCTGGGCCTCCCATGTGGGTGCAGGGGCCCAAGCACTTGGGCCATCCTCCACTGCTTTCCCAGTCCATAGCAGAGAGCTGGATTGGAAGAGGAGCAACTGGGACACGAACCAGTGCCCATATGGGACGCCAGCACTGCAGGCAGTGGTTTTACCCACTATGCCACAGCGCCAGCCCCTGAATTGTACATTTTAAAGGTAAGTTATATGGTATATCAATCATATTTCAATAAAACTGTCCGAAAAAAATGGAAATGGAGTACTCCTTATGGAAAGTTGTATTGTTGAAGGTACAGAGTAATGGGTGCTGTGATTTGTGTAAAATATACAGAGGGAAGCATCTGGTTATATGTGCATGAAATGTCCTGGAAAGATCTTTTCACTAAATATTCTTTCTGATTTGGGGAATCCCAAAAAAAGTAAATGTGTGGCCTACTAAAAATCATTATTTTTTTACCATTACAAAAATAAACTGTTGGGCCAGCGCTGTGGAGCAGCGGGTTAAGCCACCACCAGCAGTGCCAGCATCCCATATGGGCACCAATTTGAATCCTGGCTGCTCCACTTCCAATCCACCTCTCTTCTGATGCATCTGGGAAAGCAGCAGAGGATAGCCCAAGTGCTTGAGCCCTTGCACCCGCATGTGAGGCCAGGCTCCAGGCTCCTGGCTCCTGGCTTTGGGTTGGCCCAGCTCCAGCAGTTGGGACTATTTGGGGAGTGAACCAACAGATGGAAGATCTCTCTCCATCCTTCTCTCTCTCTCCGTAACTATGCCTTTCAAATAAATAAATAAACCTTTATTAAAAAAAAAAAAACCTGCTGTCTCATCAATATCATTGTAATTAGGCACACCTGTGCTCACTGGGTATACATTATGTTTTGTTAGACACATAGGAACATGGGAGCTGACCAAGGTCTTGAAGATTATCTACTGAGTTCAACTCCTCAGACATACAGATGAGAACAAGGCTCTTTGCACTATGCAGTATTTCACAAATTGAGGTTCATGAGATAATCTTAGTACAGAAAAAATTTTTAAAGATTTTTAAAAATGTATTTGAAAAGTAGAGTTACATGGAGACAGAGAGAAAAAGAGATCTTCCATCCACTGGTTCACTCCCAAGTGGCCGCAATGACCAGAGCTACATCAGGACAAAGCCAGGAGCCTGGACCTCCATCCAGGTCTCCTGTGTGGCTGGTAGAGGCTGAAGTACTTGGGCCATCTTCTGCTGCCCTCACAGGTGCATTAGCTGGGAAACGTATGGGAAGGCAGAAGTAGGGACTCAAACCAATGCCCATAGGAGATGCTGGTGTTGCAGGTGGCTGCTTAACCAGCTATGCCACAACACTGGCCCCTGAGCAAGTTCTTTCTTTTTCATTTATTTATTTAAAATGGATTTATTTGAAAGTCAGAGTTATAGAGAGAGTGGGAGGGAGGGAGAGAGAGAGAGAGAGAGAGAGAGATCTTCCATCTGCTGGTTCACTCCCCAGATGGCTGCAAGGGCCATTCCTTGGCCAGGCTGAAGCCAGGAGCCATGAGCTTCATCTGGATCTTCCATGTGGGTGGCAGGATCCCAAACACTTGGGACATCTTCTGCTGCCATTAACAGGGAGCTGGATTGGAAGTGGAGCAGCTGGGACACACGGTGCCCATACGGGATGCCGGCAGCCCAGGCAGCGGCTTTACCAGCTATTCCACAATGCTAGCCCGAGCAAGTTCTTTAACCTCTTCTGAATTCAGTTTCCTCATCTTTAAATGACAGATTTAGACCAAACATCTAAGGACCAGACTCAAATTTCCCAACTGCAGGGTCCTGTGGTGGCCGATAGGTACTCCTGGTTTGCTACTGTCCATAGGCTGCTGGTGGTGGCTTAACCTGCTATGCCACAGGGCCAGCCTCGAGGGATCTTAATTTTCCTTTTTTATGTTTTCATGACATATTTTTCTTCCTTCATAATAAGTGTGCTTTACTTTCAGTATCAGAAAACATTAAGCAGGGGTTTTTTTGTTTTGTTTTGTTTTTAAAGATTACACATCTTGGGGCCGGCGCCGTGGCACAGGTTAATCCTCCACCTGCAGCACCAGCATCCCTTATGGGCGCTGGTTCTAATCCTGGCTGCTCCTCTTCCAGTCCAGCTCTCTGCTGTGGCCCAGGAAGGCAGTGGAGGATGGCCCAAGTGCTTGGGCGCCTGCACCCCATGGGAGACCAGGAAGAAGCACCTGGCTCCTGGCTTCGGATTGGAGCCAGCCGTAGCGGCCATTAGGGAAGTGAACCAATGGAAGGAAGACCTTTCTCTCTTTCTCTCCCTCTCACTGTCTGTAGTTCTACCTCTCAAATAAATAAACAAATAAACCTCAAAAAAAAAAAATTACACTTCTCTGTATAATCTGCCTCTGTGGGACTTAACCCAATTCATTCACAAATATTTATTGAGAATATATTATTATTATTGAGATATAGAACTCCTGTAATAACAATCCCATGATCCTTCCCCAAATTTCATTTTTCTGCTTTTCTTATTAAAGTATTGCCCAGAAAGACTGCAGAATGTGCAGGCACCTAAGGCCAGTTGCACTTCTTCCCATGATTCTCTCCCTCCTGCTAGACTCTTTGTTTAGGCTGTGGAACCAGAAGGAAGAAGGCAGTCAAGGAGTGTCAAGGATAAGCAAGGTGAATTTTATAGAAAGTTATTTAATCGGCTTTTAAATTTACCAATGTGTTGTGTCTCCATAAACTAACGAACACTTTCTACAGAAGCTGTTCCCTAACCACAGGGTGCTTCACTGCGCAGTAATTTCTCAGAGAATCCCCAAAGGATCCTTTACTTCCTGTACTTTGGTTAACTTGACCCCAACCAGCTGGAGTGTGCAGTACTGGGGATTCTTTACTGTCTCTAACTACTCCAATATGGTGCACCAAGAATCTTCAGCAAACAAGTTAAACAGTGTAACCCTTTAGTGAAGTTTAGTTAACTACAAAACACTCTACTATTTCATAAGGTTAATATGAGAGGAGAAATCTAGTACTATGCCAGAAATGCAGATATTAAGCCAAATAACTCCAAGAGATTAAAACAAACAAACAAACAAACAAAACACTGGGCTGACTGCTGCTTGTTTGTTTCATTTGAATGTACACTTGAAACAAACAAAAAAGCCTCTCCGGGAAATAACCTAAATGCCCATCAAAAGGGGATTGGCTAAATATTCAGAGCAGATTTAGTAAACAGATAACTATACAAACAGAATGAAATGGGCTTCTTTTTCTTCATGTGGAAATATATCTCAGATATATATTGAAAATACACTGGTGAGGAGTACATACACAGTATGATTACATAGTACATAAGATGAAATAAAGGATATACTCATATTGTTGCACACAAATAAACATTTCTAGAAGGAAACACACTGTTGCCTTCTGAATTCTGAGACTGTGCCAGGGAATGAGAGCTCTTTACTTTTTATGTTTTGCATTCTGCCCTGTTTCCAATCCTTTCTTTTCTGACTCCTGCAAGCATTATGTGTTCTGTTTTAGAAAGTAAAGGTCAACACTTTTGAGGAAACAAATTCATCCTACCGATGATTTTTTTAAAAATAGCCTTCTTAAGATAGAATTTACAGACCACAAATTTACCCCCCAGCAAAGTGTGCAGCTGGTTGGCTGGACTTTGTGCTGAGAAGTAAGAATGAATCTGGCATGACAAACAATCTTTTATGCAACCACGCACAAGAATAGTTTTCGTGTCTAAGAAATCTCCTGGGGTATCAAAATCTAAGCCAATGTTGTGCGTGCAATGAGGGTAAATAAAACTTGACCTTGAGATTATGGGGTAAGGTCAGAACTACAAGATCCCATACATAGGGTTAAAAAATAAAAGTAAAAAAGGCAAGAGCACGAGCAAATACCAGCAGGGCTAATGCCAGTTTTCCATGTACAAGGGCACATGAAGAATAAACCAAAGCTAAGCTCCGGGACCCACCGGAGCGACTGCGCCCAGGGACTGGACGTGCCTCTCAAACAAAGCCAAGTCGTTTCCTTTCCCCTTTGAACTTGGAGCGCGTCCTAGCTGCCTAGTCAGTTTGCCCCACCACCCGCCCTTAGTGCCCACGGAGGTCTCTGTCCTGAAGTCTCCCCCCGGGGCTGCAGGAGCACTGAAGTGCTGCGCCCGCCTCAGCTCCGCGGCCAGCCACCGTCCCGGCCTGGGCTCCCACCTGTGCCTCGCAGCATGTTCTGTCGCAGCAGGTCCCCGCTGGAGAGGTGCTTCAGCTCGAAATGCTTGATGATACGCGAAGACACGGTGCCCTTGCCCGAGCCCGGCGCTCCCATGATCACCGCGCGCAACAGCCGAGCGGACGCCCCCATGGCCACAGACAGACCCCAGCCGCGCTGGCACCGGAGCTTCGGCCTGGCCTGCGCGCTCGCCGGCTCGGCGGCCCCGGGCCCGCTGGCAGCTCTGCGAGCAGGCGGCGGCGGCGCCCAGGCGCTCCCGGAAGTGAAGCGACCGCCACCCCGGCCGCCACGCCCCGCCCGCGCCCGGCCCGCCGCAGCGCCCGCCCCTTGGACCCCAGCGCGCCCCTTGCCCGCGCCCGGCCCGGCCCGGCCCACTCCACCCGCGTAAGCCGCGCCCCCTGCGAGCCCTCCCGTGTCCGTAGGCCACCTGCGCCCTCCGCGCCGCCGGCCCACCCGCCCGCTCTGCTCTGCACCCTTTGCTCCACTCTGCCTCCGGGGCTCCCGGAGGCCTCCTCCAAGACCTCTGCCTGCCCCCTCCCTCCCCTCAGATTCACCCTCGCGCCTCCGGACTCCGGGGCGCGGTCGCTCCAGATTCCAGCCGTGTGGGCTGCGCTTTCCTCCGTTCACCCTTGGCAACCCCACGTGCGCCCCCCTCTGCCGCAATCGCTGCTTGGCGTCTGTTGGTAGCCAGGCTGCACTCGCCCCCGCCCCAACCCCCCGTTAGTCCCCCACGTACCCTGTTCCCTGCGAGACCCTCTCCTGCGCATCACAAGCCCCCTAGCCAACTCGGCAGGCTCCACTCGGTGCCGCTCGTGCTCCCCTCCCCCTCTGTTCCCCGGGATCACTGGACACCCTCTTCCCTCCCCTGTCTCCTTCCTCTTCCTCCTCCTTCCCCTCCTCCTCCTGGCCTCTCTTTCCCCTCACTGTGCAGAATCACAGGAGGTGACAAGGAGGCTGGAGGCCTTCCTGGTCTCAAAGGAGAGAAACTTTGCTTTCCACGGAGTGAGGAGCCTTAAGTCACACATCCAGTGAGAGGTGTCTGTTAGCTCCCAGGATCACACTTTCCCGCTCAAAAAGTAGCTGCCACTTTTACTCTGCCGAGCGCCGAACACAGGCTCACGACTCGCCTTCAGAAAGGCGTTCCTCAAGTATGTATTGTCTACTCAGAACGCGTGCTGTTCTCCTGGGGACTCAGAGGATGTTGCGGTCAACAAGAGGCAGCTTGGAGTGTAAAGTCTAGTGGTGGAGGCAGATGGATGATGGAATCCGGCGGTGGAGGCAGATCATCAGAGGGAACTAACAAACCAGTCAGAAGATTTGAGATAGTGCTCTGAATGAAATAAAATAGAACCTGTGGCAGTGTGGAGGGAGGCTGTTGCAGCTGCTGTTGTCAGGAAAACTTTGAAAGAAATGGCCTTGGGGTCAGCACCTGGCATATCTGGTAAAGCCACCACCTGCAGTGCCAGCATCCCATTTGTCCCAGCAGCTCCACTTCTGATCCAGGTCTCTGCTATGGCCTGGGAAAGCAATGGAATATGGCCCAAGTCCTTGGGCCCCTGCACCGACGTGGGAGACTTGGAAGAAGCTCCTGACTCCTGGCTTCTGATAAGCCCCACTCTGGTAGTTGCAGCCATTTGGGGAGTGAACCAGCGGATGGAAGACCTCTCTCTTTCTCTATCTCTCTGTAACAATGCCTTTCAAATAAAATAAATAAATTGGACTTTGCTCTGAGTGCTGAGTTAGAACATGGAGGGAGAACAGCCGAGGGAAAGCCTGAAACCTGAATTCCAAGAATAGAAACAGAGAACAAACATTTGAGCACTGCTTTATCTGTACAGTGGAAGATAAGCGTGCAGTGGTTCAAAGAATGTATATAGAATACTTAGTACAATGCCAGCCGCAGGCTGAGTGTCCAGTAAGAGCTGTGTGTTGATCACCATTCCTTTGTGCTGGGATACTGCTAAGGGAGAAAGAAAGCCTGTGAAAATCAAGACAGTGCCACCCTCCCCAATGCTGCCAAATGAGTGGTCTCAAACTGCTTTCAGTTTCAAAGACAGAAATTATTTCAGAGATGTGGGAAAGGAAGGCTTGCTCAGGGAACAAACTGAGCCAAGTGAATGGGTAGGGGAATTTCAACAGGTGGGCATCCTTGCCCTTGGAAAGAAAATTCATAGCTCATACATATTCATTAGGAATCCAGAGGAATGCGTGAATCAATCATTCAATTCACACAGTTAGACAAGACATCAACATAGCCAAAGGTACGCAAAGGAATGGGTTAAATAAACAACATAAATGAAAGGATGCGGGAACTTAAGAAACAGAACAGAGAGAATATATATGTCTGCACAAGTACAAGTTATGCAATGCTGGAAAACCCGGAGGTGTGGAAAAGCAATTCCAGTCTCCAAAACTGGGAATGCTTGAGGTTTCAGCCCCAAAAGAATCTGCAAGAAAACCCTCAGGAAACTTGGCTTGGGAAAAACAAAGTTTCAAACAAACAAAAACGGGGCTGAGGAGGGTAGGAGCACAAGGAAAGCTGAGTGTTGTGGTCATGTCAACAGGCCCACAAAACTCCAGCATACTCGGGCTTTGCTGAGGATTGTTGATTACAAATGAGTAAGTCACTGCCAAGTTGGGAAATCTCCTGGCAGCTGTGCCTAGCACAGTCATTTATTTCCTTGTACAAAGGCATTTGTGTGGGTTTGTTCTTCACTGCTTAACTTGCTCCAATGGAAATGACACTGAGTTCAGCTTAAATTAGATCCTAATTTCTATGGAGCAAGAAATGCTGCTAGGTTTTGAATATCTTCTCCAAAACTCATGGTGGAACTTGATTGCTATGGTGATGGTATGAAGAGGTGGGACATTTAAGAAGTGATTAGGTCGGGGCTGGCACTTTGGTGTAGCAGGTGAACCTGCCATCTGCAGTGCCAGCATCCCTTATGTGCGCCAGTTCAAGTCCCGGCTGTTCCATTTCCAACTCAGCTCTCTGCTTTGGCCTGGGAAAGTAGTAGAAGATGGCCCAAGTCCTTGATCGCCTGCACCCATGTGGAAGACCTGGAAGAAGCTCCTGGCTCCTGGCTTTGGATAAGCCTAGCTCACACTGTTGCAGCCATTTGGGGAGTAAACCAGTGGATAGAAGACTTCTGTTTCCCTGCCTCTCTCTCTGCTTCTGCCTCTCTGTAACTCTGCCTTCCAAAGAAATAAATCTTCAAAAAAAAAAAAAAAAAGTGATAAGGTCATGAGGGACCCCCCATCATGTGTAGATTATTGCAGGAGTCAATTATAAAAAAAGACGAGTTGGACCCACTTTCCTCTCTCTCGTTCTCACGCGTGCTTGCTTACCCTTCTGCCATAGGGTGATGCAGCACAAAGTATCTCACCAGACGCCAGTGCCAATGCCACGCTCTTGGACTTCCCAGGCCCCAGAACCATGAGCCAAATACAGCTCAGCTCATTATAAATGACTTGGTCTTGGTTACTCTGTTGTGGCAGACTAGGACAGCTGCCCAAAATATATGTGACCAAGTGTTATTACAGGTTAGTTTGAGTCAAATAAATCCCAAATGCATGCGGTATGCCCTCAGTAAACATTTATTGATTAAAAACTGAGAATTACTGTTTGTAACTTTGAGGATTAGAATATATAAGCACTCCAAAATGTACATTTGGGGAACGGTGACCGTGGACATGTGTCATGGGTTGAATCATGTCATCCCAGAAGAAATGTTGCAGTCCTGGGATTTTCTGGTACCTCAGAAGGTGTTCTCATTAGGAATTAGGGTCGTTACAGACAAAGCGACCTAAAATGAGGACACGCGGGAGTATGGTCAGTGCTTAATGCAATATGGAGTTGTATATTTGCAAGATAAGGAACACCAAAGAATGCTGGCACTGGAACACAAGAATCCAAGAGAAAAACATGAAATTTGACTCTCCCCCCAAACCCTTTCAGAGAGAGTAAAATCCTGCAGACACCTTGATTTTGGATCTGCAGCCTGCAGAATGGCAGAAGAGCAACCCTGGATCGCCTTAAGCCTCTCAGTTTGTGATAATTTGTTACATCAGCCCTAGCAAGTGGATACACCGTGGTCCCACAAAGCACATGAAGTGTGTCTATACTTGTTCACCGGGAGTTAGGTAAATGAGAAGGAAAGACTAGAAGGCAGAATGTCTGAGAAGCCTTTGACCAGGATGGCAGTGAGGTAAAGAGATCAGAAAAGAACCAGCAAGGGGAGACTAAAAAGAGAAGGAAAGTGCATCAGTTATGTACTACTGTAAAAAGCCACTCCAAACCTCTGTGGTTTAACAACACGTGCCGAACCACTCTCCAGCTGGCCACGTGGGTTCTCTGAAAGGCAGCTCGGCTGGAACGGCTGGAAGCTACGCATAGCTGGGTCACTCTCCACCTGGCCTTCTGTCTCAGGTCTGCAGATTCCAGGGGTCTCAGAACTTCCAGAGAACAATATCCAGGAGCAAGTATGTCTTAAGCCCCTTCTTGTCTCAGACTTTGTTACGTTCCATTGGCCAAAGCAAGTAACGCAGCCAAGCCTCAAGTCAGTGGGTGAGGAGACTACACAAGGGCATGGATGTAGAGAGGTAAGATTCTCTAAGAACTATTATAACCATCTACCACAGAACTCTATTACCAATTCTGTGTAACAAACTATCCCAAAACCTGGTAGCTTAAAACAGTAATACTTGTTTTCTCGCATTTTCCATGGGTAAGGAATTTGGGCTCAGCTTAGCCAGGTGCCTCTGGTTCACAGTTCCCCATGATACTGCCATCAGGTATTGGCTGGGGCTGTGGTCATCTCTGGTCGCACCTTGGGGAAGATCTACTTCCAGGCTCTCTCAGGTACTGGCAGGTCTCAGGTGCTCGGCAGCCGTTGGCTGAAGACATCAGTTCCAACACTGAACAAAGCAGTGCCCTTGCTGTAACAGGTATGACATTCCAGTGGGGAGAGAGAAAAGATGCAAAAACATAAATAGAAATATAAAATGTTCTAGGTGACATGGAAAAAAATAGCAGGGAAAAGTGAGGTGGGGGTGAAGATCAGCATGTTGCCAAAAGAGTTGTTAGAAAGGTGGACAATTCAAGACCTAGGGCCGGTGCTGTGGCTCAATAG